AAACACACAATTTTCTAAAATTATTCTCAAAAACATATTTTCGAATATTTTTTTTGAAAACATATCCCAACATGCCCAAAATTTTAAAAGATGGGTTTGCATTTGAGTTTGGACATGGATCTGTGTTCGAAACTAAGTGTGTGTGAGTTTCACTACGAGTGATTGACTTGGATCTAATATGGGTGCGGGTCAAGATAAGTGGTATGGAATTGTAGACATATTTATTTAGTTTATTTTCACCAATTAAATAAAGGGTAAAAATGCCATTTAAATTAAATCATTAATGTTGACCAATGTTTAATGCCGATTGAGGTCATTACCGTGACGTTTACTTGAGGGTTTCTGTTATAATGGTGAGTTTTGAAGAAAGAAACACATTTGAGTTAAATTGTATAATTTATGAACTAAATTAATATAAAATATAATTTAAGGACTTAATTAATACAAATAATAAAATTTGAGGGCTAAATAAGGAATTAACTCAAAGTTTTTAAAGAAGGAATTAATAATGTTTAGAGAGAATTACACTCAGACCCTTAAAATTTATCATTTAATCACTCAGACCCCTGATATTTAAAATATTACACACAAACCCTCTGAAGTTTGTACGCTAGCAACACTTAGACCCTACTGTAAATATATCCATTAATAAATTATATAAAAATTTTCTGAAGTTTGTAACCATATATTATTTAGACTCCTTGAGTTTAAAATATTATACTTAGACAAAAAATATTTTAATTAAAGATAAAATATCAAATATTTTAAATTTTACAATTAAAATTTATGTTCTATNTGTCATTTAATCACTCAGGCCCCTGATATTTAAAATATTACACACAAACCCTCTGAAGTTTGTATGCTAGCAACACTTAGACCCTGCTGTAAATATATCCATTAATAAATTATATAAAAATTTCCTGAAGTTTGTAACCATATATTATTTAGACTCCTTAAGTTTAAAATATTATACTTAGACAAAAAATATTTTAATTAAAGATAAAATATCAAATATTTTAAATTTTACAATTAAAATTTATGTTCTATTGTATCATTTATTGAAATAAACTCAAAAATAAAAATTCAATTTTTTCTTACAAAATCATAATTAGTATATAATTATATTGTCTATTAAAATTTAATTTATACTAAACTACCCTAATTAAAGCTAAAAGATATTGTGTTCATTATAGTTTAACCCATTTTTTAATTTTTTTAGTTTTATTATAATAGGTAGTATAATTATATACTAACTATAATTTTTTTTTTAAAAACTAGATTTTTATTTTAGATTTTATTTCAATAAATAACATAATAGAACATAAATTTTGGATATAAAATTTATGTTCTATTATGAATGACTTAGACCCCTTGTTTGATTTTCTAGTTTTATTCGAATATATAGTATGACTGTATACTAATTATGATTTTTTAAGAAAAAATTAAATTTTTAATTTTAATTTTATTTCAATAAATAATACAATAAAATATTAATTTTGGTTGTAACATTTAAAATATTTGATATTCTATTTTTGATTAGAATATTTNTTTAAAAACTAGATTTTTATTTTAGATTTTATTTCAATAAATAACATAATAGAACATAACTTTTGGATATAAAATTTATGTTCTATTATGAATGACTTAGACCCCTTGTTTGATTTTCTAGTTTTATTCGAATATATAGTATGATTGTATACTAATTATGATTTTTTAAGAAAAAATTAAATTTTTAATTTTAATTTTATTTCAATAAATAATACAATAAAATATTAATTTTGGTTGTAACATTTAAAATATTTGATATTCTATTTTTGATTAGAATATTTTTTTATTATAATATTTTAAACTTAAAGGGTATAAATATTATATAGTTATAAATTTCAGAGAGTCTAAGTATAATTTATTAATTGATATATTTAAAGCAAGATCTAAGTGTTACCTACAAATTTTAGGAGGTTTATATGTAATATTTCAAATATTAAGAGTCTGAATAATCTATAATATAAAATAGGGCAACTTCAACAAACTCATCATACGGTCTTAAATTCATTCATCAAACGGTCAAGAAATTACCTTTTTTTTTCCTTAATATTTCTCTCCCAACTGGTCAACAATTACGGTTGATTTTGAACATATCTTATGATCTCAAATTTATTCATCTAACGGTCAAGAAATTACCAATTTTTCCTTAATATTTCCCTTCAATTGGTCAACAATTACGGCTGATTTTGGAACACATAATTTTTTTTAACATAATAACTAAATGAGTTAAATTTTCCATTAATATCATTTGTGTAGTGTAACATTTTGAATTTTTATAAGACACATTAATAACATTTTGATTAAAAAAAACTCATCAATTTACACATATAAAAAAAACAAGGGCACTATTTAACACATTTATATTGAATATAATTAAATTTTATTTTATTTATTTAATTAATTATCTCAAACTAACATATCTTAAATCAAAAGTTCAGGACTAATTTTTTTGATCTCTTAAGAAAATCCAACGCTAATATATTCTTATAAATTAATAATTTTGTAATAACTTGTACTAATTAAAAATAATAATATTTTATAAATGATATTTGTAGAACTTTTTTTGATAGAATATATTTGGCGATATACTTTTTGATAAATTAGACTTTGAATTTATATTAGATTTGACTCAATTTTGATTACATGTATATAAATTAATGTTCGATTTTGATTACATGTATATAAATTATTATTTTTTTAAGTCAATTCAATCATATTTCGTATATTTATCCATAATGTAAAATAGGAAAGACTTCAATAAATTCATCCGACGGTCTCAAATAAACTCATTCAATGACCACCAACATCGCTCTGAAAACTATTCAAATTGAATTTTACCTTCATCTTTTCACCCNATATATTTGACGATATACTTTTTGATAAATTAGACTTTTAATTTATATTAGATTTGACTCAATTTTGATTACATGTATATAAATTAATGTTCGATTTTGATTACATGTATATAAATTATTATTTTTTTAAGTCAATTCAATCATATTTCGTAGATTTATCCATAATGTAAAATAGGAAAGACTTCAATAAGTTCATCCGACGGTCTCAAATAAATTCATCCAATGACCACCAGCATCGCTCTGAAAACTATTCAAATTGAATTTTACCTTCATCTTTTCACCCTTTTATTCTCTCTCTCTCTTTCTTTCTCTCTATCTATGGCGGTGGTAGATAGAGGAAGGGTTTAGGACCACCCGAAATTTTATTTTTTTTAGTTATATATGTTTTATATATTTTTTTGGATATTCTTAATTGGGCCCGNTAAGTCAATTCAATCATATTTCGTAGATTTATCCATAATGTAAAATAGGAAAGACTTCAATAAGTTCATCCGACGGTCTCAAATAAATTCATCCAATGACCACCAGCATCGCTCTGAAAACTATTCAAATTGAATTTTACCTTCATCTTTTCACCCTTTTATTCTCTCTCTCTCTTTCTTTCTCTCTATCTATGGCAGTGGTAGATAGAGGAAGGGTTTAGGACCACCCGAAATTTTATTTTTTTTAGTTATATATTTTTTTGGATATTCTTAATTGGGCCCGTTGTGATGATTTATAAAAAAGAAAATTAATTGAGTCAGACAAGTTGGATACTAGAACCCAAAAAAAAAAAAACAGTCTATATCAAATCTCTTAAAATTAGCAAATTAAAATTGATTCCTTAGAGTATTGGTATAATTTGTTGGACTTCATTTGATTCAAAAATTATGGAATATATAACAAAAAACGAGTAAAATATAGAATTCGTAAAAAAATGAAATATTATAAAATATTATTTTTATTTGTGTCAAATCTATAATATTAAATATGACAGACTTCAACAAGTCCATTCGATAGTCTTAAATAGACTCATCTAACGCCTCCCACATCCCTCTCAAAACCATTCATTTTGAATGTCTATCCTCCCAAATCCATAACTTCTCCCTTTTGCCTTCGGNCCAAAAAAAAAAAAACAGTCTATATCAAATCTCTTAAAATTAGCAAATTAAAATTGATTCCTTAGAGTATTGGTATAATTTGTTGGACTTCATTTGATTCAAAAATTATGGAATATATAACAAAAAACGAGTAAAATATAGAATTCGTAAAAAAATGAAATATTATAAAATATTATTTTTATTTGTGTCAAATCTATAATATTAAATATGACAGACTTCAACAAGTCCATTCGATAGTTTTAAATAGACTCATCTAACGCCTCCAACATCCCTCTCAAAATCATTCATTTTGAATGTCTATCCTCCCAAATCCATAACTTCTCCCTTTTGCCTTCGGGCACGGGTTATTCATAATATATTTATATATAGAAGATTAGACATTTGATGATTAAATTTACAATTATATTGTGTCATTTGTGGTTGAATAGTGATAGTGCTAACAAATTCATGTGTTTTATAAAAGAGCAAATTTTTGTTGATTTTATTTATTGCTTAAAAATTGTGAATTTAATTTTGTTGTGTTACTTTCTTTTTTTTGAGGTATTTATTACACAGAGAATAGGGTGGATTTGAAATTTGATGGTTGAATTTATAATTATATTGTTGGATTAAGTGGTGGTAGATGTGATAAATTCGTGAGTCTTATAAATGCACAAGATTTTATTGATTTTACTTATTGCTTAAAAATTATAAATTTTACAATTCTATTAATATGGACGATAAAGTTGACGACATATTTTGAGCCTTTTAAAAAAAAAATTGGTATAAATATTTTTAGGTCATTATTTTTTAATTTAGACAATTGTTTTAAATTTGTTATACAGTGTCTTCAATCTCGGGCGATGACCAGTCACATAACAAACCAAANGACATATTTTGAGCCTTTTAAAAAAAAATTGGTATAAATATTTTTAGGTCATTATTTTTTAATTTAGACAATTGTTTTAAATTTTTTTTTTATTTGTTATACAGTGTCTTCAATCTCGGGCGATGACCAGTCACATAACAAACCAAAGAGATCTCCTTATAATTCTCCGTAATGTTTATTACCAAAAGTAAACCAAGTATTCGGGTGGTCGTCTGTAAAATAGCGATAAGATGAGATTGTGCCATCTACAACAGTAGAGAGAGATAGAGATGTCTGCTTCAGCTTCACTATACTTTCTTCAGAGCACTTGCGCGTATTCGCAACAGGGGCAGCATCTTTGGCTCCGTCCGAATTTGGTGGCACCACGAGCTCGGCCACAGCACCAGTACCAATACCAGCCTCTGATTGTTGAAGCCAAGGTCAGAACTAGAAGAGAAGACAGGACTGCCCGCCATGCTCGTCTCCGAAAGAAGGTTTACTTCTCTCCAATCCTCCTCCTCCTCCGAATCAATTTCACCATTCCCTTATTTTTGGCTTTTAATTTCCTGGGAAATGTGGTTTTACATTATCTCCTGCCATGAAATTAGTATTTTATTCATGGGACGCCTACGAAATTGAGTTTTTCTCTGTGAATTGGCGTAGAAAATAATGTAACACACTTAGAGAGATGAATAAACGTGGTGATCTTTAACACTATGTTACTCAGCTTATATGAGGATTCTCTAATAATTGCTTATTACCTACACCATGGAGAGGATGAATCAATGGTGGAGTCCCTAGGGCACCCTAAAACACCAAGGAGGTTGTTCATCATAAGAAGCAGTCAACTTTTTCATTGGCATAAGTGGACTAACTTTTGTGTGTTGTTAAGAGAAACCATGCTTGCGGAGATTGTCCTCTCATGTTACGACTTCTACTTTGATGCTAAATGCATTGCAAATTACATTATCCATCTGTTGAAGTTGGGCATGGCAAAAACTATGTTGTAATTTAATCGCCTATATATATTAAGCTCAAATTTTCAAGGACAAGCCCGAGTTAGAAATGGCTTCGGGAAACTATTATGTGCATTGGAGAGATGCTTATGCAACTTTCACTGTGAGTGAGAAATATTTGGTCCTAGGCAGTGGAAATGAAAAGATATAATGAATCAAACCTGCTATTAAAACTTCTATTTGTAGGTTTGCAAGTAGTCGTTGAGTTAATTATTGAATGTGGAAAGAGTGCTAGTATCTGGAGACTGGAAGTGAGAACAATCCTTGCCTTTGTTGTTTCACCTTGTAGATATTCATTTTGAGCATTAAGTGTGCTTGCCTTGCCCTTACATCTGACGCTCAGCATTGATGTGTCTCTTCCTGGTTTCAGCAGCCATAGCTATTCGGGTGTAGTATTTTTTGTATTTGAGCTGCTTTGCTTCTTTTCCATGGAGGAAAAATTGCATTTGCAATACTTATGCCACTAATGCTTCTGATGGGTTGGCCTGTGCACTTCCTCGAAGATTAGGATTCAATTCACAAAGCCTTATTTGCATACCTATTCCGGTTGATCATACTGTATTGTAGTAAGGGTATAAACACTAGCTAACAATCCGTAACTAGAAATGTAGATAATTGTAACCATATACATAAGAAATGAGAGCAATGGAGTATCCATTCTCGGTCTTTATTGTCAAGTATGCCCAATGGTGTCCAATCAATGTAGTCGATGGAACAAAGGAAAGAGGAATCGGAGAAGTTTTAGACGAAGATCTAAGCACCGAGAAGGAAATGAAGCTCAAATACATAGCATTCTCCACACACCCACAATACGTTAGCAGCAACCTTACCACCAGCAATTTCACTTGATTTTGTAGCAGTATCCTTCGCAAGTAGAGGAGAAATTTGCTTCTTCTTTTTATTGGCATCAAAAACCTTAAGAATCATATGTGCACTAACCGAGGCAGAGATTGGAGTGCAGTTGAAACTTAAGCTGGAGGTACAAAAAATGTGAAGGCTGTGAAACTAAATTCTCACTTTCACACCGTTGATTGTGGGATGACTTGACATTCAATATTTAAGCAGCAGGGTGACTCTATGGTAGTGTGTGATTGCAGTTTTAGTAGAGAGCAAGGTCAGAATATGTGACTTTGGCAAAGTAGCTCATGAATCTCATTGAGTAGGTTTGAGAGGATTAATGTGGGTGCTCAAAATCTAGTGACAAAATATTCTGATTATCAGTCACCTCATTTGGTGGATTGTTTTTGTATGGTATACCTGCTTTCCATTTCAGATGACAATAGATCTGTGATGTTACAAGAAGGGTTTTATACGAGTTGAGTCACTGTCATTTTGAGGGAAGCATGAACTTCTTGTTCCGCTTGTGCTGTTCATGATTATATGCACTACTTGTCAATGATACAATTCATTTCCTGTTTTCAGGTTGAAGGGACGACCGAGAGACCCAGACTATGTGTGTTCCGCTCCAACAAGCATATCTATGTTCAGGTGATTGATGATTCAAAAATGCATACACTTGCTGCAGCTTCAACGATGCAGAAACCCATCTCCGAGGAGTTCAACACCAGCTCTGGTCCCACCATCGTAAGTTAATGCACAGGGTTGGTTTAAAGATTTCACTGTAGATTCAGTAATGAAAAATAACTGTTTTTTGGTTTGCTATTAATTGAAGTTTCTATTTGCTGGAATTGCATTACTTGGTGTTTCTTCTCCCTATTAAATCTTGGTGCTTCGGTACACTGTAGCTGAAAATTGTGTTGAAGGTTGTTCTGTCATTGTACTGCTGCAGGCTTTGTAATATTGATTTAGAAAATTGATCCGTGAGTTATCGTTGTTTGTAAATCAATAATGAACATTTGAGAATTTAAGTACCTTTTCTTCGTATGTGGATTCTGTTTCCTCACTTGTGTATATTGTAGACATTGCGGCAAAGTGTTTTCTGATCAAATGGCAATGGTACTAAGCACTGGAACCGGTGTTTTTATGGGGGCCACTTACAGCGGAATTGTGGTATAAAGTATAAACATGTCTACCCAAATAGAATGTAGCAGGCTTGTTTCCAACACAAGATAAATTTGGTACCAATTTATGACGTCTGAACTAATTTCTTTGGAACTCCTTTTATTAACAAAAGAGGCAGAACAGAAGTTTAAAATATATCTTCTTTGCATCACTCGTTATTGTGATTAGAGCTGGAATTAGAGTTCTCTATATAACAGATTTTGCTTTTGTTTCTTATTAAAACCCAATTCTGGAGTTGTGTATGCTTTTGTTTCTTATTAGAACTGAGTCCATGAGGTCCATATCTGTACTTGATGAAACAGAAGTACTGATATTTTGCAAGCTTTTGGTACCAGGATGTGGCGAAAAGAGTGGGGGAGGTAATTGCAAAGTCATGTCTTGAGAAAGGCATCACCAAGGTAGCATTTGACCGAGGGGGATACCCTTACCATGGGCGGATTGAAGCCCTCGCTGATGCAGCTCGAGAACACGGTCTGCAGTTTTAGAGCTTGGACAGTGAATTATTGTTCCTTGTTAGTTAGTCACCTGTTCCTTTTACTATGTCTCTCGTGAAAAATGTGATGGAAGGAGGCATGGATCTGTGGATTGATGAATTGCCAGTTTGAGAGTATGATCTTGGCAAGCTTTTAGTTTGTTATTTTTTTTAACTTGAAAGAAATTCTGTGAAAGCTTTGTGATTAGTGTCCGATCTTTTAATGTTCATTAAACTTGATTAATGGATGCTAGTTATTTAAGCTGTTGTTTTTCAGTTCAATGTTGGGAATTGCCGGAGACAGACCTACAAGTGCTTCAGTGTCATTCTTTGTATATGCAATGATAGACTGGTGTCATTGACATTACCCCTCACACCCCCAACCTGTCGAACACCCCTCGCAGCCCCTACCCCCTCCCACGACCAGTACCATCCCGCATGTCAGAACTCCTTCCCCTCCCCCTGTCGACACCCGTCACAGCTGCTGCATAGTTGTAGAACCATTACACCCTCCCCCTCCCCCTCCCCCAACAAAACCAAGTAATCTCCTCTACCTCTCTGTGTCACACGCGCCGCACACACTGACATAAAGCTTCAAGACTCGCTGTCACAAATTGAATTAAAGAAATGTTTATAGTGTTGATTTTTATTACTGATATTGTTAATTTTAGTTTTAAATTGTTTCTGAGAAAGGTAGCACTGGTGGTCGGATAAGAGACTGGATGGTGGTGGTTTTGAGAGCGAGAGAATCTATCAGAGCTGGTGCAGTGTGGGGGTGATTTTGTGTTTATTGATTTTGATGAACCAAACTCAAGGGTCCAACTCATGTTACAAGCCCAAGTCTCCAACTCCAAGAGGTCTAGCTAGCTAAGCCCAAAGGAGTCTGCATCCAGTTAAGTTCATCAGGTTCCACGAGTTATATCAGTAGAGGAGCATGCAAGGCCATTTGCAGGTGCCTAGCTCTCCTCCGCAGACGCCCAGGTCTCCACCTCAAGCACCCAGCCTTCCCCCTCTACCACTTTGGAGCATACAGGATTATCCAAGAGTGTTATCCTCTTTCCCTTTGAAGGAGTTAACATCCACGTCATTATTTGACCGAATCTCGTGGAGAGTACCACAACTGCCTAGCCTATTGAGGAGAAGCCGTGAGCTCCACCAGAATAGTTATGTAGTTGCTAATACCTCGCCCAAATCTATTAGGAGGGCGACTATAAATTGTAAGCTCCACCAACACTTGGGGGGCAGGATCACACTCCTACCTGAGCACGACTTTCCTCTCCCTTTCAAAGCTTGTACTCTCTGTTCCATTTACCCTTGAGCTAATAAAAGTACTCGGCGACCAAAATCATTCAAGAGTGGACGTAAGTTTTGTTGACCGAACCATTATAAATCTTCTCTTATCCATCTCTATTTACCTACCATTCAAGAGGAGGAGGTTGCTCCTACACCTACCAACCCTATCCCAAATGCTCCATTTCTAAATCCTTAGCAAATATTAGAGACCATGTAGTAGCTGGTGGTCCAAAACTAACAGATACTACAACTCATGCTCGCCGGACAAGGAGGAGCACAACTTAGAGGACCTCAAGGAGCTCCACACCCTGGACATCAATGAGCTCCACGCCTTGGATATCAAGGAGCTCCACAACTTGTTGCTCCCCCATTTGGGCACCCATATAGGTCTGGGCGCCCCCTTTGGAGTCCCTTTAGGCGCCCCACACAGGGAGCCCATCATGAGAGACCTCCAGCTCCTCTTACTTCCTATGGTGAAGACTCTCATCTCCAAGAAGATGATGATGAAAACTAAAACATGGAGCATGAGAGTCATTTTCATGATTATTCCAGAAGAGTCCTCAATTGTTGGGGCAAGAAAATTAAGGAAGTACAATATCAACTGGGTGACGTCTTCAACACCATGAAGGCACAGGAACTCAAGATAGTGGACTACCTCGTAAAGCGGACAGACACGCCTTTCAAACCTGACGTGAAGAACTACCCCCTCCTTCAAAAGTTCAAAATGTCATCCATGGAGACCTTTGACGGAACGAATGATCCACTTGATCAACTCGAAACCTACAAGACCCTAATGCAACTGCACAACGTTCCAGACGAAAATTATGTGTAGGGCAAACCCAACTACTTTGAAGGGATCAGCGCGACAATGGTTCGTCAAACTCACCCCGGCCTCCATAGACTCCTTCGTCGAACTGAGCAGATCATTTGTGGCACAGTTCATTTGAGGACACCGTCAACAAAAGCCTGTCACCTATCTGCTTAACATAAAACAGGATCGAGACGAGAGTCTGATGAGTTACCTCACTCGTTTTAACGAAGATGTCCTCCAAATCAAGGAGCCCAATGACAAAGTTACCATGACCGCCTTTTTGAGAGGTCTCTACTCATCCAGATTCCTTTTTTTAGTAATGAAACGACCACCAAAGAGCGTGCCAGAACTATTGGCAAATGCTAAAAAATATATGCATACTGAGGAAATTAACAGGTTTAGACGAGGTGAATCATCTCACAGATCACCAGAAGTTTGACCTGCCTCTACACTGTTCTTAAACAGACAACTTATTTCTAGCTTAGCGACTCTCTTGCGGGTCGTCCAAAAGCTTGGCCTCTACACTGTTCTCAAACAGGCAGCTTATCTTTAGCATAGCGGCTCTCTCACAGGTCGCCAAAAAAGCTTGACCTCTNTCTCTAGCTTAGCGACTCTCTTGCGGGTCGTCCAAAAGCTTGGCCTCTACACTGTTCTCAAACAGACAGCTTATCTTTAGCATAGCGGCTCTCTCACAGGTCGCCAAAAAAGCTTGACCTCTACTCTGTTCTCAAACATGCAGCTTATCTCCAGCTTAGTGGCTCTCTCAGGGGTCGCCATAAAAGTTTGGCCTCTGCACTGTTCTCAAACANCTACTCTGTTCTCAAACAGACAGCTTATCTCCAGCTTAGTGGCTCTCTCAGGGGTCGCCATAAAAGTTTGGCCTCTGCACTGTTCTCAAACAGACAGCTTATCTCTAGCTTAGCGGTTCTCTCGCGAGTCGCCAAAAAAGCTTAGCCTCTGCACTGTTCTCAAACAAACAATCTATACCTCAAGCTTAAAGACTCTCTCATGGGTCGTCAAAAGCTAGGTTTCAAAAAGTGTAGCTCTCTCACAAGCAGTTCTCTAATTTTGTCTTTGCTCTCGCGCAAGCAGTCTACCTCTCTCTTCAAATAATTATGTGAGATAGTTTAATGTTTGGAATAAAAATTTTTTTGTCATCACAATCAGACTCTCTCAAAGAAGTCTCAGGCTCGTCCAAAGCACCCAAGGCATCCCCCCAAAGCACCTCAGGCTCACCCAAGGTGCCCAAAACGAGGTAGCCCAGCACCTAGAGGAGTGTCTAATCCTATGTGCTCGCCCAAACGAGGTAGCCCAGCACCTGGAGAGATGTCTAACGCTCTATGCTCGCCCAAAACGAGGTAACCCAGCACTTGGAGAAGTGTCTAATCTTATGTGCTCGCTCAAACAAGACAACCCAGCACCTAGAGAGGTGTCTGACACTCTATGCTTGCCCAAATGGGATGACCCAGCACCTGGAGGAGTGCCTAATCCTATGTTCTCACCTAAACGAGACAGTTGGAGAAGTGTTTGGGGCCTGCTAGTGCCCAGCCCTTGCACGCCGATGCTAGCGCCCACCATGCCACCTACTTTAATGGAGCTCGTCGAAGGCGGCCAAGGCAACCCCAGGCTCGCCCAAGGCAACCCCAAGCTTGCCCAAGGTAGCTCAGAATCACCCAAAACATCCCCAGGCTCCCCTAAGGCAATCTCAGGCTAGCCCAGGACACTTCCAGCTTGCCCAGAGGCTGCCTACTCACCCCAATTGCATGCTCAAAATTTTGACAATAACTTTTGCTCCGTTACTTCAAATAGGGGCTTATTACATATCAAATTGAAGCTCTCAACGAGCCCTACAAGACCCATAGCCTTTGGCTATGACTGATGGTGTAAAAAGTCCAAAAAAGGCTCAAAAACAACTATTTTGGCTTTCCAAAGTTTTTAAAAAAAAAATAAATAAAAATTCAACTCGCCCAGGACACCTCCTACTCGCCTAGCTCTCTGCTCAAAGTTTTGACCGTAACTTTTGCTCTGTTATTCCAAATGAGGCTTATAATATATCAAATCGAAGCTCTCGACAAGCCCTACAAGACTCAAAGCCTTTTGGCTATGATTGATGCTATAAAAAAATCCAAAAAGGCTTGGAAGTAGATGTTTTGGTCTCCCAAAATTTTTCAGTTGTGTCGGTCAGCCAAAAATTTGAACTTAATCGAATGCCCTCCTTTCCAAGTTCCATTGGACACAGGACATTGGGGGGCAAATGATGAGCCAAACCCAAGGGCCCAACTCATGTTACAAGCCAAAGGGCCCAACTCCAAGAGGTCCAGTTAGCTAAGCCCAAAGAAATCTGCACCCGGTCAAGTTCATCAGGTTCCATGAGTTACATCAATAAAGAAACNCCTGTTACAAGGCAAAGGGCCCAACTCCAAGAGGTCCAGTTAGCTAAGCCCAAAGAAATCTGCACCCGGTCAAGTTCATCAGGTCCCATGAGTTACATCAATAAAGAAACATGCAAGGCCATTTGCAAGCGTCCAGGTCTCNCATGTTACAAGCCAAAGGGCCCAACTCCAAGAGGTCCAGTTAGCTAAGCCCAAAGAAATCTGCACCCGGTCAAGTTCATCAGGTTCCATGAGTTACATCAATAAAGAAACATGCAAGGCCATTTGCAAGCGTCCAGGTCTCCTCTGCAGACGCCCATGTCTCCACCTCAGGCACCCAACCTTCCTCGTCTACCACCTTGGAGCATGCAGGGTCATCTAAGAGTCTTATCCTCTTCCTATTTGAAGGAGTCAACACCCACGTCATTATTTGATCGAATTTCACGGAGAGCACCGCAACTGCCTAGCCCGTTGAGGAGAAGTCGTGAGCTCCATCAGAATAGNAGCCTTCCTCGTCTACCACCTTGGAGCATGCAGGGTCATCTAAGAGTCTTATCCTCTTCCCATTTGAAGGAGTCAACACCCACGTCATTATTTGATCGAATTTCACGAAGAGCACCGCAACTGCCTAGCCCGTTGAGGAGAAGTCGTGAGCTCCATCAGAATAGTTATGTAGTTGCTAATACCTCGCCCAAATCTGTTAGGAGGACGACTATAAATTGTAAGCTCCACCAACACTTGGGGGGCAGGATCACACTCCTACCTGAGCACAACTCTCCTCTCCCTCTCAAAGCTTGTACTCTCTACTCCATTTACCCTTGAGCT